CTTGGGTATTCAAAAGCCTGGGAAAGACATTAAAAAAACCTTTCAGTTAAATTGGAACTAGAGCTGGCCAATACGATAATAAACTGAATATCATCCATGTAAGTATCTACTTTCTTTCTAATGCCACTGTGGTGCTATATTATAATTTTATTTACTAAAGCTCTAAGTTAATTTATTTATTTATCATATGAACTGTCAGAAAAAGCAGATTAGTGTACATGTGTACATGAATTGTGATAAAATTCTTATCAAGATCTTACTCCAAACAAAAAATGCTAATAGTTTTTTAGCATATAACCCGCTACTTTGAATGTAAATGTAGTGTAAAAATGTATAAAGAGAAACACTTACTGACGCAGGAAGACAGAATACTGACTGTTCTGTCACCAATCGCTCAGTAAAGTCCACATCATTTTTAAAATCTGGAAAATGCTCCATGTCAATACCAACCTGCAAAAGAACATGTGTTATTTGAATTAAATGAAGTGCATATTGAAAACCATTGTAGTAGTGCAGGGCTTTGTGAGACTCTACTCACCATGAGGTACATGGCTCCAGAGGGCATGACAGGGTTCAGGCCTGGGACTGTGGATAGTTCATTGAAGCAAATCTCTGAGTTGGACTGAGGACAAAACAATAACATAGTTTACGATGATGTACTGTAAATGTTTATTTCTGACATAGAAATTGCATAATATGAAATTTTTAAAAATTTATTTTTATGAGAAAGTTAGTAAAGTAAGTAAAAAATGACATGTTTTGAAGTCAAAGAGATCAGACTGAGGCATTACAGAGGGGTGGAGTGGAAGAGGACATAGAAGAAGGATGCAGCCCCACCTTGAGGAAACTGATGGTGGTGCTGTAGAAACTCTGAGGCGTGTTGTTGAGGATACTCTCTAGTGCCCCCTGGACAATAGTACAGGCTCCAAGGATCCTCTGAGTCAACTTCACCAGGCCCTGTCGGATCTGCTCACACCACACAAGCATACATAAGTTTAACAGGATTTATAAACAATGTCAATACTTTTCCAGTATACATAAATCAGTTGTAACAATTAACAAAAAAACTCACTGAGGTAGATGATGACATAACAAATGAAAATGCAGTTCACCTCTGAGCCAAATATGTCGTTGCGGTCATGGATCAGGATCCATCCCAGCCGCCACCCGGGTACAAGCCAACGTTTAGCCAGGCCCCCACAGGCCAAAATGGGAACGTCACTGCTTAGAGAAGCCATAGAGGGAGAGCTGCAACCAGGGAACACCTAAAGACACATAACATAATAGACAATTTATATTCTGTCCATGTATAATTCTGTTCTGTGCACAATGCCTATAGCACAAACCAACAATCAACTAAATCAATTAGAAGCTCGGAATCATGCAACTGCATATATTGATCATCTTGGTTCAACATTGAACACGTGAAAGCACAGCCAGGTTGAATAAAAACACATTCAGTACAGTATAAGTACTTAGAGCATATCGTGAAACATTAGCCTTAGATCTAAGAACCACTCATGCCATGAGGACAGTACAGCATCCAGTGGACTCCGCCCACTCGAGGCTGTTTCTTATTGGAAACTTAAAGTAATTGGGGATCTGCCCCATCTGCTATTGGCCAGTTGAGTTTGAATGACGTAACAGCTGAACATATGTGTAGCATCAGGGTTTTTAAAGTGTTTTTGGGATTGTGGCTGTTCTAAGTGTGGGTTGGCTTAAAGTAGAGTCTTATTGTGGCCAGAGAGAGCATTTATGTAATGTTCTATACCCAGGCAGTGCCATAAACTATTATTTACTACCAGGACAGTGCCCTGGGAGAAGTACTCCACTGAACTGTGCCCTCACTGGCCCCAGACGGAGGACTGGCCCATTAAAATGGGCCCCACATCCCCCATAGTCCTGTCTGGCTCTCCACCCACCCCTCACACCCCCACCCCCATTCCACACGTTTCTGCTGTGCCAGAAGCCCACATCTGCATTAATGGCAAACACATGTATCCAGAAAGTGCTCAGTCATTGTGATGGGATCGGGTTCAAACTGAGCAAGGTTTATACTGATGCAGACACAGCGTAGAAACAGCCATTGCAACTGTAATACAACAAGCATGCAAACCAATAAAGTAGTGATAATTTTTTAGAATTGAATAATTCAGAAAGTTGCAAAAGTAATAGTGATTGCCTATGATCTTGAAGAAAATATACTTTTTTCAATTGTCATACTAATAAACTATTGCAAAACAAGTAAACAGTAATGACATGGGTCTGGATGCATCCATGATTCATCCTGTTATCAAAAAAGGTGGAAAATCACAGCACTAGATACGTGAACATCTCTTATCTGCTCTATATTTGAGCTGGCAAACATCACAGACCTATGGCAGTTGAGGATCTCTATCAGTTAAGTCAAGGGCAAAATCGATTCCATCTCCTCAACTGACTTTGTTGAGCGTGACCTTCTCTAAGGTGAAAAATGCTCCCATCTGTGTTTGTTCTTAGCTTTAAATGTGTCAGTAAACCTTTATAGGTTTAGGCTTCAAACCTGTTATTTCAGATTAAATGCTGAGATAATAATGCGTCTCTTGATTTTGGGCTGACTTTTAGAGCATTTCTGTTCACCTTGTTCTTTATCAGACTTGCAAACAAACAAACAAACAATATACTTAAGAAACATACAAAAACAATAAGAAAATCTACCAGTTTGCCATAGCTAACAAGATGAGTCAGATGACCTACTGCTCCAGTACTGTTGTGGGGTCACAGTGGACTATCACAGTGGCGTGACCGCTGTGCAAACCTCTACAGCCAGCCCAGAGCTGTGCAAACACTAAAGGTCCTGTTCCACTTCCACCTACAGACACCGTGATCGAGCACTCACCATATCACTGTAGATCTCATCTGCCAGGATGGGAACGCAGTATCTGGAGGCCACTGAAATCAACATAGTTGGTTAAATTCTTCGTTTTTTGTCAACACAACTATTACTATATACTATTATTACTATATTGCATTCTATTAGAATAACTGTACATTTGTATCTGTGTCTGAATAGTTGCTACCTTTGAGAATCTTCTGTAGGTGTTCTTTGGTGAAGACAGAGCCACAGGGGTTGGATGGGTTGGTAACAATGATGCAGGAGGTCCTCTCATCAATCAGGCTCTCTAAATGTTGTAGGTCAACTTCCCAAGACTTTTCTGGCTATAACACAGACTCAGGTCAATAATGACTAAATAAATCATGTGATTGCTGTTACAGTGCAGCTCTAGAACACACCAGCAGATTGTAGAGTTTGACCTCAATGCCCATGGAGACAGCCAAAGTTTTGTAGAGGGAGAAGCCTGGGCAGGGCACCAGGATGTTGTCTCCGGGGTTACACAACACACTGATAGCCAGGTCAATGGCTTGACTGCAGCCACTAGTCAGGATCACATCCTGCAAATGGACAGCATGTTGCATAAGACAGAAAAGTGCAGGTCATGTGCAAAGGTAATCTGCCAGTTAGCAGAAAAGCTATTTTGATTAATTTAAATTTGTCACATCATCATTCACTTAGATGTCTAGAATGAGAATAACAACGGAAGTATGTTTTATGCTTTTTAGTTGGAAGGTATAAATGTAACCTGAACCAACACAGGGAGATGTTTTGATTACTAACACAGTTCAAGGTAACTCACTTCTGCGCCCAGTGGTGCTTCCGGACAGCTATAGAAGTTGGCCACAGCTTGTCGACTATGCAGGTAACCTATAGAGGTTTTCATGATTAACACACAATGCTCTGTGCACCACATCAGTTATCAATGGTCTCTGACACTCACCGACTGATGGAGCATAGCCGTTAAACTTGTGTGAGTCAATAGCATCTTTCATGGCCTGCAGCACCGCCTTGTCTGTTGGCAGGTTTCCAAATACAGTAGGATCTCCTGAGGCATAGTAATGGCAAACTTTAAAGACACTGGTTTTATTTTACTTAATTTATGCAATACAATTACTTGGCCTACATCTCAAATACCTAATACGCTAAGTAGGCCTAGTTGCCTTTTTTCTACATAGGAGGAATGTAGCCTGTTTAGAAGGAATATTGTAGGCCTAAATGAGCAAAATTTGTTTTTTTTTCCTTTGAAATTTCATGGCAGTTTTGTCTCCTCTCTTTCTTCTCTGTTTTAATCATGGACTTTAGGCCTATACTTAGTAAAACAGGCTAAACATTTGGTAATCATATTAGACTTCTCTGGTTAAAATCTTGTGTTTCAGACAAAAGATAGTACCACTAGTGAAGGCTCTGTCAACCTAGCAGATTAAAATACGATTTAGGTTCTATCATCATTGTCTAAACTTATATGTGAATGAGTGATAACACGGTACCGATGGAGAGGGCGATCATAGGCTTGTCGGGGTTTGGGGTGAGCTTCATGCCGTCCACAATGGCCCTGATTGGGTTCAGAGTGTTCTGGGCCATGTCGGATGGCTTCACCTCCCAGCGCTGTCTGCGACTCTTCACTTTAGCGGGATACAAACTCCCATTTACTTGCACATGGTGCAAGCCATTCATGTTCAGTGCTTTCCCTTTCAGAGAGCTTCCATTCACCTTGTTGTTTACCAGCAACCCATTTCCACTCATCTTCACCAAGTAAGACTTGTTTTCCATTCTGTGACCTGTAAGCAAACAATATACGTAAGAAATATGCAACCACAATAAGAAATTTCACCAGTTAGCCATAGTAGAGATCTGTGCACCATGAATAACACCAAATATGATGATCTAGCCTGTTCAGGCCTCATGTTGCCTAGCAGGCCAGATGGGGCCTAAGTAGACTACATTGACCAGTTAGGCCTTTGGTCCACCTTTTCTTGATGGTTTAAAACCACCATTTTAAAGTGTACATTTGCTTTATTTTTTTATTTTGACTATGCCATCCCTAATTACTTAGTAATTAAATATAACAGATAAACTAAAATATGTATAAGTAATAGAATTAAATGTATTAAAACAACTATTATGTAAAAAAAAAAAAAAAAAAAAAAAAAAGGGTGTTACCAAGTTCACCCTAATGTGCCAAACATTGGAATTTAATTGTTATAGATGAAATAGAGGAAATAAAGCTGGCAAACATTTTGTAGAGAAACCATGTGTCAAGACCATTAAGGCAAATTGAAAATATTGAAATTTTAATTTTGGGAAATTATATTATATATATAACATTTTTGAAGCTGTAGGCCTAGATCAATTTTCTTTTGAGTTATCTATAATCAGCCTTATAGTTTTCAAGCAAGACCTGTACTAAAACAGTTCAAATAGTCTGCCTACCGGTCTGGTTTTGTCATTGTGTTCTGTATTAATTACAGAATAGCAATGTCCAGAGCCTTGGCAAACTCTGAGTATTTAAAGAACAAACAACTTTGGCGTAGGCTATCACATCATTTCGGTCTAAATAGACAGTTGAAGTAGTCTAAAAAGTAATTTGTTCCATGCACCTTACCTGATGTACTTGTTATTCCCAAATGGTAAATAAAGCAACAGTGCGTCTTGTTAGTTGAGAACAAATGTTGGCGGAGTGATGCGCACCGGTTTTATCCTTGAGCGCAGATGGGTGTAGAGCCGCACCAGTGTCCTATTGGAGGAGCCGAGGGCTGAGCCACTACACCCCTGTTACATCAGCCGTTCGCGGCCCGTTAACCCAAACCAGACCCCCCCTGCTTGGACACACGCCTACGATCACCTGCGAGACCACGGAAACCCACAGGACGCACATGCGTCAAAAGGAGGAGCTGCGCGCAGAAAACAACAATAACTGATCGAAGATGAGTGTAAAGTGCGGCTCTGTAGAGAACAACCGAACATCATCAATCGTTAAAATAATATTTTTATATTAATAAGGATTAATAAGGAGTCTGTAGATGTAAATGAGTTATAACCTGATAATCTGACATTGCTGGATTTCAGATGGCACCAAAATTTACGACATATATATAATATATGTAAAAAAAAAAAAAAAAAAAAAGAGCACACACACACACACACACACACATATAGAGAGAGAGAGAGAGAGAGAGAGAGAGAGAGAGAGAGAGAGAGAGAGAGAGAGAGAGAGAAAGAGAGCGTTATAGTTATTATATATAGTATTCTACTTGACTAAAGCAGCTTTTGTCTTCAAACATCTTAGTTCGATATGTAGTTTGAAATAGACCAGTTTTTATTGGTCTATTTCAAACTACATTTTGGTATGACAATTTATCAACATGAGTCTGGTCCTATAAAAGACAACATGTTATGACTTCTCTCGTCCGGTTACTCTCAGGTAAATCAATACACCAACCCCACATCACACAACAACACTGATAACACTGTTGTCATGAAACGTCAGACTGAAATATATATGTTTTCATTATGACATTCAGCGTTCAAATGCCTAGTTAAAAAAGAGGGCCAACATATATTAGAAAAAAATATCTGTTACACAACCCACTGCCACTCATTTTTTAAAAACTATACCGTTTTATGGTCCAGCTCCAAATGACCCTCCCTTTGAGCTCTCCCACTGTGACCAATGCAAGGAACTGAGAAAATGCAAGCTGCGTAAAATTAAAAAAAGAGGAGGAGGGGATTAAACACAGTGAGTGAGTAAAAGTCATTTACTTTCAAATAATTAAGGAAAAAAGGGATGAGTCATAAATCTAATCTAGCACAAGTTGTTTTCATAAACTTTTAGGTTTAGGTGATAGAATTCAGTGCAAATTTAGTACACAACTGAGCTTACTGACACTTTCTATTTTAACACTTGCATTATTATGTTATTCCCTACTTTGCGTTTGAACGCAAATAGGTGTCTGATGTTTGGCCAAGGGTTTCCTCTCGAGAATTATTAAATGTACCTTCTTCTTGAATATCGTACATGACGACCTCTATCTCTGGCTCGGCACCAGCATCATCCACGTTGATTCAAGATGACTGACGGTTTTGTACAATGACTGTACACTCAATAGTGAAAATGCCGCGCGTGCAAGTCCGCGCAATTTACTTTCATTTCCGGCAGATTGTTTTTTTTTTTTTTTTTTTTTTTTTCGCATTTCATTTTTTTCTTTAACAATCTGAGTTCTAATGTAATGAAGTAAATACTTAGGTCAAAATGTTCTATTTCAAAAACTACTTAAAAAATTACAAATTACTCATAAAAACTACTCAAATACAGTAACATGAGTAAATGTAATTCGTTACTTTCCACCCTTGCATGCAAAGCAATTACAAGAAAAGTAGTGCGCCTTTAAAGAAAATAATGTTATGGAGTGCCTTTTTTCTAAAGTGCAAAGTCATGGTGTGGTGCTCCATCATGTCACAGTAAATCACTTTGCAGGAGGTCAGACAAAAACAACACATTTGGGCCAATGAGGAGGACTAAAGACTCATTCCTTATCAAGACACTATGTTTGAAAGTTGAATTTGACTCTTCCACACAATCTCTGGGACAAGACAATTGACTGACGTAGGTTCCAATACAAAGCTAAAAGTTGATTGTTAATATAGTCAGTGTTGTTTGCATATTGTTTTGATTTGTATTTTAATGTGTAAAACTAGGTAATATCCACCCCCCGTCTGGCAAAGACTCTTAATTGGTCAGTCAACACTTGGTTTTGGTTGGATTTTATTGTTCAAGTTTCCAACAATGAAACCCACATAAAAATGGTTGTCCTTATTATTAAACATAAAGGCTTTGTTTTACTCTAAAACCAACTGAAATCTGGTCCAGCCCAATACAGTTCAAGCCTTAGGTCAACTTAACCAAGCCCACAAAGAGAAAAGGAGCGATAGTGAGCCAGACAGACAGACATACACACACACGCGCGCGCACACACACACATACACATAAGAGCATTGCATCTGTATCAGCTTAGACTTTAATTAATAACAAAGTATTTATTTTATTGAATGAATGTCCTTGCAAGTAAATTGTCCCTGCATTTTGGATGGAAAGTAGAGGGGATTTCATTTTAGAAGTCAGTGATGCTTCCTGTCTTTTTCTATTTTACTTTAAACATTTGACTGATTAATTATTATTTTTTATACACAAATAATAATAATAAAAAATAAAAAAAAACATGAAGATCTGTCATATGCACTTAAAAGTGGAGAGTACACAACATTTTTGGATGTGCGCACATTTTATGAATGAGGCCTCAGATCTTTTAATGTGTGCAGCAAGTCACTGGGATCTTCTATCAGTCTGTGGTCACCAGCACCCTGCACTTCACTGTGATCTGCTGTAGGATAGCAGCACCAGAAACAGGGACAAACTGATCCGTAAATCTGGTCACGTGACTGTGAGCTGGCGACAAGTGAGGAACAGAAGGACACTCCTGCTCACCCACTGCTCCAAACTCCATCATTGGGTCATATTGTCCAACAAGCTCCCACATCTTTGATCCCACAGTGCAAGTTACAGGACAGCATTCATAACATACTCCAATCAACCACACAGCAATTAATAATAATTAGAATGCATTAGTTTTATGTAGCATATTTCTAGATGCTCAAAGTTGCTTTACAATTTGTGTATTATTCATTCACTTACCGGTGGTGGTAAGATACTGTTGTAGCAACAGCTGCCCCGAGGCAGACTGACAGAAAAGAGACAATCTGTGCCACTGGCCCCTCTGACCACCACCAACACTCACAGACACACCACTTTCATGCTAGGTAATGGGGGTGAAGTGTCTTGCCTAATGACACAACAGCAGTTTTTGCCCCTGTCACCCCACTGTGGATCCTGATTTTCCCAGCAGTCTCCCATCCAAGTTCTAACCAGGTTCAAACTTGCATAACTTCTGAGATCTGATCAAGCTTTAACAAGGAGGTTTTGGCCAAACAAAAAAACTGACCCTGATGTAATAGATGAACCACTGTCATGCCAAATCACTATTTCAGCTTTGCCCTTTCTCTTAACCGCCACCTCTTTTATAGCATGGATCTACTGTATATTTTAGATATAGATATACATTATTGTTTTTATTATAATTTAAAATCTTCTTGCACATATGTAAAACAGTATAATTTTGCCTTATTTGACAGCATGTCTCTTTTTGCAGCTCAAAATCTAAGTATTTTTTCTCTTTGTTATAATAAGATATTGTAATGTATGAGCTACTCCTTCCAAGTAATTTCCCTGGTGGATCAATGGATCTTACAGTAGTTTCGATCTTATAATGTAGAAAGTAGTCCAGTCATGGCTCACTGGGAGGTCCATTCATAATCGATATGGAGCAGTTACGTCCTCACCTCACCTTTGCAGTGAACTGGACCCTGTCTCCCACCATCAGTACAGCAAACAATGGCCTCCTGACCTCATGTTTCATTGGTCGCTTACCGTTGACATTTGAGTGGCTGTATCTAATACATGAGCTCAGACACTGCTCATTGGCTGACCCTGGTGATGTCTGTGGACAGGCAGTGGAATGGGAGTAAGTCTGATATTCTTGCACTTTCTAAACACTAGTGCACTATAGTGACCACATATTTAGTGATTCACTGATTCAGGAAATTTGTCTGGCTCACGTATCGGCCCCGTGATATCGGTTCAGCTAATATTCTGTTTGGGGCTTTGATTGGACTATTCACTGGCTGATGGGGGTTAGAGTGTTTCATAATGTTTGAACTTGAATTCATTCAAAGCTGTTCAGTGGTTTATTACAGAATAAATAACACAATCTGATTAATTTGTAATAAGTTAAGTGTTTTTGGGGGGTAAAAGGACATTCTCTTCCCTACTCTGGTATCAGTTAATATCAGATATCGGGCAGATACTTAAAGCTAAAGTATCGAAATTGGTATCAGCGCTGAAAAATGTGGTGTACCAGGTGTAGACATACATATTGCACTATACTGTTTACTATGCTGTATACAGAGTTGTATAAGGTACTTTTTAAGGATAATAATTAAGTATTTAAAACTTGAAAAAGACAGAGTACATTTATTTTGCATTTACAGGTCAGCTGGCACAATGACAACCCTGTGTCTTCATGAGCCGAGACTAGAGCTGCCTTTGTGTTTGCCCCCAGCCTGGATAAACAGAGATGGTTAAACTGAAGAGGACCTAAATATGTTGTGTTGCATTTTCCTTATTTGTTATTGATGATGAAAAATGGGTTACTCTAGAATCTTACATAATTTCTTACTACTGTTATGTAATCACTGTTGCAATGCAGGTAAATAGTGTCCACTAAGAGACCCGGTCTGTATGTCAATAATGAGGCACATCCAACATAAATAATTAGAACAGATTCAAGGTTTCAAAGTTTATTCAGGCTTTTTAATCTTGTACCATTTAGGCAGTTTTAACAAACATTAAATTATCTGAATAAGTTTGGCTGAGTTTTATACACACCAGAAAACACTTTTTGAGTTTCCACCTATGATGTCATGATGTGTTTTTTGATGAGGAAAAATATTATAAAAGGGTTGAAACTCAAGTAAGTCAGAATAAAAGACTTTCAAATATCAGCAACTGCATTTTATACACGCCAAGGTATTCCATATAGAAACATATTTAAAAACAACATAACACAACTATTATGTAATGTGTTTATGCAATCCTTATTACAACATTACTTTGTGGAGTGTTTGTTAATGTGCTACAAAAAGGCAAAAATAAAAAGTCTGAGACATAATAAGCTAAAGTTATGTTTTATGGGTACCCTATATTCTTCAGTAATCTTCAGTATTCAAATGGGTAAAAGACCCCTAGACCATCTTTTCAGTGTATTTGAGGTAGGCCTGTATTCTGTATCGGAATCTGTTTCGTCCTCTGAAGAACTGCTGGAGTACAAAGAGTTAACATTGAATATGTAAACGTCAGGATCAATACTCTCCCTCATATCAACACACTGTACGCACTGAAATCTTCCTTTAGTTATCCTTAGACACTCTTCAATACTCATTCGCTTCAGGACCACACAAGGCTTCATATTGTTGTTAATGAATGTCAAATTGTTCTGAGAACTTGCCATGTGATCAATAAAACTTGATTCAACGTCTACATATTTCTGTGTGTTGCACGTGATGTCCATCCCTGAGGTAGAATGTGTAGAAAAGCTAGCATCACTGCCTTTATTCATTAAGTTCATGTGGGAAGAATAGCACACTTTTTTGGCTCCATTTCCCTCAAATTGTGATTGGAGATATTTTTCTCCAAGTCTGAACCTCCTGGAGAGCTCTGAAATAAATGGCTTGGAAGAGGTAACAGTTTGAGGTGTTAATGTTCTTGCAGAATTGCTCACTGTAGAACTTGCTGCCACTAAATCCTCGTTATTACCCATCTGAATATCATTTGGTGTAGCACTACTTTTTCCAGGACATATAGTGACCGGAGTTATATCCATGCATGGGACTATTACAACTTTAAGAACACTGGCCCCTGCTATAAAGGACTCAGCTGGAGGTGGTGCTGGATGCAATGGAGATGCCAGGTCCACTGGTTCTACAGTCTTTGGATTTTCTTCTACCTCTTGGAGCTGATTGGTGGTGGATGGCGACAGGTGTTGCTCAGGTGGGACGGGGAGGTCAGAGGGGGTGAGGTCTGAGGAGGAGGTGGAGGTGAAGAGCGAAGGGGAGATCTCACTGACCTGATGTGGCTGCTCTTCAGATGACTCCATGGGACATTCACACAAGAGGTTACTAACCCAGCGCTGGTGTTTGGAGCAGAAATGAGGACTAACCTTGTTTGAACTGTTTTCCAGGCAACTTTCTTCTGTCTTGTCCGTCTCTGTTGCACTTACACAGGTTGTTTTGTTTGTTTCGTCTAAAGTATGTTCTGTTCTTGGTCCATCTATATGCACCATTCTTGTATCAGTGACTGAACAATCTAGCTCTAAGAACTTCTCTGCTGCAGATTTGAGTTGTTCTTGGGAGGTGCCAACACAGACACAAGAACCCAGGAATGACTTGCTGAGTGAGTAGCAACAAACAGCATCTGAAGGAACAAAAGACATATATAGTTCATAACAATAATAAATAATTAGGGGTGTCAAATTATCGCGTTAATTGCGATTAATTAATTACAGTCATATTTAGCGCGTTATGTTTTTTAATCGCGTTAATCTCATTTTTAATCTCTAACTTTACAGTTTCTGTATGCGAGTTGCTTTATTATAAAATCTGTTTTTATGTGTTGTTGGGACAACACACACACACAAAAAACACATTCATTATTTTTTTATTTCGGTAATTCCACTCATTGCCGGAAACCCACACAAAACGCGCGCAGTAAGAGCGATGCAAACGTCATGTTAACGTTGGCGGCGTCAGTCACACAATGGACGAGGTCGAAGAGCCAGTAGAACAGAGCAGCAGTGCACAGGTAAAAACACATTCGTGTCTTGGAAATTATTCTCCCGACGTGAAATATAAAAGAAAATAACAAATATAAAATCGCCTACAACTTAAATGTCACTGGTGAAAACAACCTGCATAGGCTCATGATGTCTGCACTACTGTCCTATAGTGACCTGCCACATGAGGGGACACGCACACAAACACACACAAATACACACAAACACAAATACACACAAACACACACCTTCATCATCGTCATCAACCTGAGAACGCGCGGACCACGTTTCTTTCCGTAGTTACTGCGCGGACACCGACGTGCTCCCGTGCGCCGCGTACGTTTTCTCGCGTACGCTGCGTAAACCGCGCTTCCTCCTGTGCGCCTCTAAACCAGAACTAACACCAAGACTAAAACCGGGACTAACCCAGTCCAGGACTAAACCAGGACTAAACCAGGACTAAAACCAGAACTAAAACCAGTGATCTCATATATAAAGCATTTCTCTATCAATAATATTTTTAATATGGTTAAGGAAAGACTGGACTTTTTATTGTCTTTAAGTAGACAAAAGTTATTATGTTCAGATTTCCTCATCTTTGCTACTTTACAGCAAACAGTTTCTTATTCATGGAGACTTGGGCTCAACAGTCAATTTGGAGAGATTTGTTAAACAATAAATGACTTTATAAAGTCACTTTTTTTTGTTCTATTTCAGTCTTTTGATCTGCTACAATAATGTAATAATGAATTTAAATGAAAATACCTCAACTTGAAGGCTTTTCTCAGCATTTTTTAGGTGAGATTAAAAAGAGATTAATTAGATTAATTAATTACAGATCATAATTAATTAATCTCTCAAAATTTTTTTTAATCGCATGACAGCACTATAAATAATATGAACAGTACTATGCAAGATTATTTTTGTCATCCAGGTATGACAACACTCACAACAATATCATTAAGTCAACTGGATATTAATGACCAGTATATAACCTATACGATGGCAAACTAAAGGCTACGCGCAGCATGCATAAAATATAGCCAGAGTAGCTATGGAGAATGGCCTTTTCTCCTCAGAAAACACAGTTAACTTATTACAAAATTGATGCAATTGTATTATTTATCCTGTTATAAACCACTACACTTTGTATGAATTAAAGTTCAAACATTTTAAAACATTTTAAGCCTACAACAGCCAGTCTTGTTATATCCAATTAAAGGCCAAACAGGATATCCGCTGAACCAATAGCATGAGGTTGATACCTGATCCAGACAAATTTCCTGCACTGGCACAGATACCGATGGCAATATCGGTATCGGTCACTAAACATGCCTAATTAAAATGGGTTGGGACAATGCATGTTAACTAACACACAGTATGAGACACATGAATGGAAACACATTGGATTATAGCCATGGGCTAATTTCCATCTGTTGTTCAGCATTCACACCTTATAAACCTTATAAAAATATTTCTTAGATGCACCAGCACGACAGTACGTGACATGTCTCGCTCAAGGACACAAAGACAACACACAGCACCATGTGTTATGTTCTTACCAGAATGCAGTAGTTTTTTCAAACTTGTTGCTGTGGTGATCAAGTCGTCAGTGATTAAGTCTAACAGCGCTTTCTCCTCTTCTTTTACAGGAACATTTTTCTTCATGATCTAGTGCATAAACACATTTTAGTTACTGATAGTAATGAGACACTTTGCTACTTTGAATGAACCTAATGGCCTGTTTACTCAAAATTTTAATATTTTCTTCTTAATTGTTACCATGAATGCATTTAGAAAGAGATTTAGGAAAGAATTTACAAACCAGTTAATGTAGCCATTACGTGACGACATTAACTGGCAACCATTTTATCCATTTTATGTACTAGGATTGAAACAAATAAACTATGGAAAAAGACTAAAATACCTTGTTCTAAAGCAACATAGTTTTAGCTTTATCTGGTTACATAATCTATATTAATCAATTATTCATTCTTTAACATAACATAACTGAAGATCATCTATTCAGCAGGAGATAACCATACTGTTTTTACATTTATCTGAAAGAAAAAAACAAACAAAAAAACACTCACCTTATCAATATAGGTACACTGTGGCAAAGCTTTGTCCAGTTCACGCAGATAGTAAAGCAGTCTCTCCTCTGTCTTTTGAGCATACTGCTCCCCATACTGTTCCTCCACATGATTCTAAAAACAAAAAATATCACACATTTAAAATACAAAAGTAAAGTGTTTATGTGCACAGTGTGTAATAACAAAGAACACAAGACATTAAATACAATAAGAGGTAGAAAATATATTTTAATAGTATATGTTTGATGGTGGTCAAAGGGGCTGGGTCAATGGCACAGAATGAGAGCCTTACTTCCATCAATGCACCCATGACCAATCACACCGCCCGAGGGTTCAGGTGAACACGTTAGCTGCTCACTACTACCCAGAGTCAGAAAGAACAGGTTTGGTGAAAAGTTTAGTTAATATCTGTGGCACTAATCCATGCCTAACTTGGGACATCAATTTAGATTCAATGGGGACATTCAAGGTACACACAGTGTGTACAGCATAGTGCATACAGGCGTACCCCTGCAGGGGCATCTGTGGGGGTTTAGTGTAATAGATACATGGGGTTTACCATGTCCTTGAGTGTACGGGCTTTATGTGCTACTCACTGGAGGTTGACGATCCTAATATATTCTTTTAACTTGTCAGTAAATGCATGTATCTGTCACTTAGGCTTGGCTGTGGTTTTATAAAGATATTTTTCAGATATATTCCCAATGTACATGTATTCTTATGGGCCTCTGTGCTATACCGCACACACCATGGTGCAGAGGCACATAAAGTTACCACAAAGGAAATCCTTGAACTGCGACAGCTCTATAGTTAGGCACATTGAGATGCTTGACAACACAGTTTATTGAAAATTAAAGGGAAAAACTGAATCTACACTGCTCCCTACTGGTATGTATGAAGACAGGTCAGCTGGTAGACACTGTTGAGTTCCAATATTTTCAATAAAACACCTACCTGGATATAGTCCTCAAGCCTTCGTTTGTCCATAACCAGTGACTCAGCAAAGGTCCTGAAGTCAAGCTGGTTTCTTCTCATAAGATACATCTCATGTTTCCTCTATGAAAAAATACCCATTGTCACATGTTGTTAATAATATTTTTAAAGTATTTATAACATGTATAGGAACTTACACAGTGATCTTCATATTGAGGCAGTTTAGCGGGAAAGTATTTAATAATTTTCTGTACGACACTGATAGGTCCGATGCCTTCCCTTAGCATCCACATGATCACCTGCAAAGTAGAGTACACTATCAAATATTTTGAAAAACTGGAACTGAACAAGTAAAAATATATATCATACCATGGTTTTGAGACCAAATACAATCTTCATATGTTTGATGGGAGGCACCAATGTGGGCAACAGGGTATGAGTGTGCTCCAAAAAGGCCAGCACTCTCTCATAGTGATGGGGTTGTCTGCTTTTGATAATATTGTAGACCTGTGCAGACGCAACACGGACACACCAGGACTCATCCAGGCTCAATATACCCCAGTCCCCTTCTGGCCAACAGAAAGCCTCAACATCTGTGAAAAGAAAAACATCCCTAGAAATAATTACACATAATGCACCAGCTCAGTGTAAATAAGAGAAATGAGAGATCTTTTTTATATATATATATCATGTTTAACATACATCTTTGGGGACGTGTTTGTAATAAAGGACAGATGATCATGATCCAGAGCATTGCACTTTCTATTGCTGAATTATTGGGTGTCTAGATTTGATTTGGTAAAGTGACTGAATAATAGTATAAATAGCCTACTGTTCAAAGTATATCACCTTGGAACACATCTATCATGCCGTGAGCCCACGCGTACTCTATGATCCGCAGCCTCCACGCAGAGTGTTGCTCCATCAGATGTCACCATATCCTCTCCACGCAGCATCCCTTAATATGCCCTTTGGTCGAAGAAGCCCCGCCTAGCGGAGAACATGTACAGACAAGTCAGGGGCATGGAAGTTCTTATTATAGATCAATCCATGGTCAGGAGCCCGAGACCTTAACTTTATTTAGTATAGATAATTGTGTTATAGTAAGACTACAGAACCCACAATTTAAATACAGAGATTCATTATGCATACTGAAACTAAAACTAATTCCTGCATTGACTGACTCCGTGCTGAAAACAACAGCTAATAATTTGCTTCTTCTCTGCCAGTGTCAGTAAAATAGAGTAATTTACGGACTTTGCTTATCCCGTGCGAAAGCGCTGCAAGTAACACAGAGGTTATTTTAATAGATCCATGCACAGAAGTGAGGCGGTAATTTGCAAATTACAAGACGTCCCCAGGTTATACTTGTCCTGTGCCAATAGGACTTTCTGTAGTTTCAAATTAAAGCTCAAAAGAAGGGATCGCACTGATGGATGATTATTGTTCTGCGCTTTTACTTTGGAAGTAGCAATGGTGTCACCCGGAAGTAATTCGTGACACATGCAAAGTCAGGAACATGTCTACAAGTTTGTCTACAACGGCCCATAACTGTAACCTTTAATTAAGGTTTATCTTTGTTTATCTACCCTTTGCGATAGGAAAAGAAAGACTCAATGAGCTGATAAAATAGATTGTATCACTAGCTTTACCATTGGCTAATCGTAAAAACCTCCAGGATTTATCAGATTTGTTCTGAGCTCCGCAGGGGTGTTACAGGTAAATAAAAGGATCATTGTCATTGCATGCTCTCTACAAATTCTGGGAACAAACAGGCTTTGAACTTTATAATTGATTTTATTTAAAAGACCTAAAACAGGTAATACAGCCACTACAGAGCAGGGTAGAGTACTGCTAGAGGACACAGACGATTCTTATCAATTTATAATATGAATAAAGCAATGGCACAGCAAGTAAAATGTTTTTGTAGTTAATAATAAACCAGGATTTGAATTTTATCAGGAAAAGATATATTTTTGCTTTATGAAATTAAAAAATAAATAAATAAATACAGATCGTTTAAATAGTATAAAACGATTGTCACTTAACAAAATGGCAATTGTAGCTGAAGTCACCTCTTTGGCATCACCATCAGGGCGAAGAAATTAAGGTGTTCTCTACTCAAATACAAATCTTATGATAAAATATTATAGACAAACGATAGAAAGCAGCACACCAGGTCTTGTAATCAGATGTTAGAAATGGAATGAGAATGTGGTCGATTGCTTGATGACACTTTGTTGATTACTGTTTATCATGATTATACTGTACTGTATTTTGTTGTTCGCAGTTGAATTTCCACCCACCGTTGCTCACATCCTCTGTGAAGGCCACAATGAACAAATCTTGCATTAGTCTACTTCAGCTGTCCAGAATGGGCTTCAGATTCACAAGGGGGGCTATAATGCCACTTCATTTTATGGGACCCCGCATGTACTGTAGTAATGTCAAGGTCCGTTCCTATCTCCAGTACATGAAAAGAAAAATTCGGCCTCCTCCCAATCCTCCCTACAGCCATGTGTGCCAAGTAGGTGACCCAGTGTTGCGAAGTCATGCGTCAGTTGTGGACCCTGCCACTGTGAAAGGCGCAGAGGTCCAAAAAGTAATTGCTACCATGGTCAAAGTGATGCGCAAAATGGAATGTGTGGGACTGAGTGCACCTCAGATCGGGGTGCCTCTTCGTATATTGGCAATGGAGTACCCACAGAAGATGCTGGATGAAACCCCATCTGTGTTAAGAGAGGCACGAGGCCTGAGCGCGTTGCCTCTCAGAGTGTTTGTTAACCCACAGATGAGAGTGTTGGACGGAAGGACTGTGGTTTTTCAAGAGGCATGTGAAAGCATCTCAGGGTTTTCAGCTGCAGTGCCACGCTACCTATCTGTGGAAATTTCAGGTATGAGAATAATTAATATAACTGTCATTTATAGAGAGGGTATTATGCTTTTCATTGCTTTTATAAACTATTTGCTAACATCTAGGAAGGCGTAGTATAAGCAGTCTTTAAGTAAAGCTTTCTCAATATGTCCACTGGTTCTATACAAAAACTTCAAAGAGGCAAAGAGCCAGAGAGACATCAGCCAGCACAAATTGAGTAAACATGTATGAAGCAAAAACATTTAGATATTTTATCTTTATAACGGGGTAAAACAGTCAATAAAGACAATTTAGCATAATACCCTCCACCCCTCAATATTCCTCATTGTTGTGTGTTGCTATAACAGTTGGTGCATGTTGTTATTGTACAGGTCTCAATGAGAAAGCAGAGCCAGTCACATGGCAGACCAGCGGCTGGGCAGCTCGTATTATTCAGCATGAGATGGACCACTTAGACGGGGTCCTATATATTGACCGCATGGACAGTAAATCATTCATAAATATTCACTGGCAGTCATACAATGAATAAAATACATTATTTTAACATAAGGACAAGACCATTGTTTTTTTTTGTTTTTTTTAATGAACTCAAACTTACTACCATGGAATAGATTGTTATTCATTTTTGTTTAGGAGGCTAATAATACATCATGAGATGCAGATTACACTGTGTAGGAAGTGGGTCAAATTTCATGTTCTGTAGGTCTGCCTTCTTCCACCTCATAAACATTGCCAGGCTTTGTTCATCCCTGTCCCCTGTTGTTGAAATCCTGATCCACAGCTTCATCACGTCCAGATTAGATTACTGCAATAGCTTTCTTTAGGGCACGCCCTCCAAAACGCTCAATAGGTTACAATACATCCAAAACTCTGCTGCCTGTCTCCTCACACACACAGTCTTGTGAACTTATCACCCCTGCCCTCCAGAACCTCCACTTGCTCCCCATCCCTCAACACATCCAGTTCAAAGTCCTCCTCTTCACCTTCAAATCCCTCCAGAACCTCCTGGTCCCATCCTACCTCTCAGACCTGCTGTACCCCCACACTACATCCCACTCCCTCCAATTCACTGATGCCAACCCCATCTCTCTCCTGCAGAACCAAACTCCTTTCCTCACCCTCTGAATCTCCCTACCTCTCTACCTTCATGAAAAATCTCATGAACGATATATTTAGAATAGCTATTAATGTTTAACTTTTTATGATTTACTGTTTTTAAGTTTCCTGTATTATTTATTGCTTTTTGACAGTTTTAATATTTTTCTGTAAAGTGTCTTTGAGTGTCATGAAATGAGCTATATAAATAAAATATATCATTATTAGGTGGAATATTGTAAATTGCACTGGATGACAGTTAGCCCTAATGTGAACTTTTTCCATTCACCCCAGACTGATATAACTGTGACGACATAGGTAAGAAATATTTATTACAAATAAAATATGCAAAGAAAGCCAGAAGAGTAAAACAAATCCAGGCAACTGCAATACAAATAAATGTTACTTGTGATTCATTCACCTTACATCTAAATATTGTCACAAAACAGTTCATACATGTATACTATATGTGAGAAAGGTTTCGACCATTGTCTCATTTTAAAAAATGTAATTAAGGTGCATATTAATTTGGCACATACAGTGGAAGTGTAAAATATAAAAACACAGCATTAAGTGTCATGTCATGGCAGTGTTGCTAAGGTTTAGTAAAGCATAGATACACATTTAACAACATTTATAGACAAACTTGGAAAGTGTCACTTAGCAAGAGCTTATATATTTTGTACTCATGTGCTCAATCTGATCCTAAATGGGAGTGAAAGAGACTGACTAGGTCAGAAATGTATGTAAAGAATGCTAGTTATTTTCCATGTGCTCAGAATGCTTCAATGAGATGTGGGGAAACTTGCTTTTGTGTACTGACAGATTTAAGGCACTTTGTTAGCCTCATTATATGTCAATTCTCAATTTAAAATTGACCTTCTAGACAGAAGATGAAAAGTCAAAACTTTTACCGCATTCACAGTAAAGAGGGTTTTTGTACCAGCAGTCTTTGCAGTATTCATTTCCACAGTATTTGCATAACACATGAGCCTTATGAGTACATCTACTGACCGAACAAAAACCTAACATTTTAGCCCCATGGGAAATGTGACAGATCTTTGCTTCATTGCAATATTCCATATGAAAGACTTGGCAACTAAAACATAAGATCTGGGGATCCAGGGTTTGGAACTCACAACAGCTATGCAGAGCTAAAGGACTAATAAATGACATAGTGGATTCAGGTTTATTATGTAAAGCTAAGGAGGAAAATGTGTCACTGCAGTTGGTCAGAGTTGGTGATAAACTTCCTCTACGCCGTGAAGCTGCTAATCGAATTGGAATGAGCTGCTCAGGTATTTCCTCAGTCAACTCTGTTCTGTGACTTTTGTGGCAAAGGTCAAATTTGACACAGGTAACATGGTGGTAAGATTGACAATCTATGCATTTGTAAAGAGTTAAGCGCTTCACTTCGAGACAAGTGCAAGTCAGCATGCTTAGAGCCTCATGATCAGTTTTTTCTTCAAGACTAACAGGTAATGCCTCGATTTGTTCTCCAGAGAAGTCCTTATAGAAATGGCTCACACATCTGGAAGTAGGCAAGAAGTCATTGGCATTTGTGTCAGCAGAGGGTGTCTTCACGTGATAAGTAGAGATGTACACCGACTCCCTTGTTATGCCATTGGTACTTTTATCAGGCATCCAAGTTAAAGAGCGAGGGGCTTCATCAACAGATGTTTCTCTGAGCCTCTCTCCTTCCAGCTCATCTGTGTACAAATCCATGTCACTTTCTTCGGGCAGCTCTTGGAGGGGCTGCTTGACATCTAGCAGCCTCATAGTGCTGTCAAGAGCGATCTAAATGACAAAGAAACAATTTGAACATTTCTTGAACAGCAACAATTCACATTAACTTTTAAAAATACACCATTTACCTGAAGGTTGTGTCCTCTTTGCCTCTCTCTCACAATGCTGAGCTCCCATTGAGCCCGACCAGCATACTTTCCCAGTACATCCAGAAGGAGGCGACACTCACAACGAGCCACAAAGAAGGCACAGGACAAGCGCAGCAGCTCATCCACCCTGGCTGCACTGACTTTCTGAGGCTGAAGGTGGAGCTGTTCCCGCCGAGATGAACACAGCCTATAACCCAACAGGCCAAAGAGCAGCTCTATCTGCTGTGTGGAGAACACTGGTTTGATGCAGTGGGTAAATATTCCTGAATACATCTGGGGAAAGAAAAAATATGAAAGGAAAGCGATGGTACTCTACAATATTATCATGGTGAAGTAACAGTTTTTATAAACAAATTCTACAAAACGTTTGTGTAATTCCTCAGTCATCCAGGTAAGTTTCATCACAAAAGTGTTTAGAGTGTTCAGTTTTCTTTTGCAATAAGGATGCAGGAAATAGACAACACTAGTAAAAGCAGGTAAACAAATGTTGGACTGAATAAACATAAATTTCATTCAAATTAGACACAAAAACAAATGTAAAAAATAAATAAACCAACTTTGACAACTTTGTACTCCTCCCTCCATGGACCCAGATGCAGGTTGAGTGCTGCTTGTTCAAGGACTTCAAATGCTTTGGTCAGTCCTTTTAACCCTGTTCTGACTTTTGTTGGTCGCCTACTCTCTGTCACTTCTGCTTGCAGAGACTCTTCCATGATCTTCAGAGTATCCAGACCCAGACAATGTGCATCAGTGAATTCTTCACTTTTCAGCAGCTCATCCACCTCATTGCAGAGGGTCTCGTCTCTACACGGCAGACTGGATCCCTGGTCAACAATTTGTTTTTCCAGAAAATGATTGTAGGCAGCCACAAGATCTATGGTTCTCTGTCCGGTCATGGTCATCTCTATTGAGCTGCCAAAAAAAAAAAAAAAAAAGTTCTGACTGGAGTACTAGTTACTAGTTAGTGCTCAAACAAATACACAAATCTTTTTATAAAAATATGCCCATCCAAAGCACTGCTGCCTTGGTCCCAAAAATGAATTCCAGGTCCAAATACAAACATGCAGAGCAGGAGAACGATTAATATTACTTTTTTAGAGTTTAAAATGTGCCAATGTGTCCAACGTGTCTATGTACTGACCCAGCCCAAGGTTTTGACGTGAAAAGATTGTAGTGAATGTTGATCAGCGTGTTATGCCAGAAAAGAACTTGTGTTGTAAATGTAGGCCTTCCTTCCTTTTCACATTGCCTACTAAGTATAGGCCTAATTGTATATAGCTAATTACAAAAGAATACTTTGTTTTAAGGTTGCAAGAAAATATTTTACAAGTACATTTTAAGACTGTAACCATTTGGATCTTCTTGTCTGCTGACTTGAACACTCCAGGAAGTGACATAATCAAAGAGAAAGTAAACTTTGGCCTGAAGTTAAGACGTATATAAGGTTAACTTGTGTTGGGAATACATTGATTGGAATGCTTAGACTATAATTTGAAGACAATCTTCTCAGTGTCTATCCTTTTTCGGTATTTTGTTAAATATTTTAACAATTTTTCAGTCAAAATAGGAGAAAACAGTAGCCTCTGCTACATGCTTGATCGTGTTGGTAGGCCCAATCTTTTTTATTTCAAAATACCATAATGGTGATTGATCAAAACAAAGCTTACCGTTTAAACTATCGTGTTTCAAATGGTCACTAAAATCAGGTGCATATGTCCACAGTGCTCCTGCCGCCGCACACCGCGCTAGCTGCTAGCGGCTTGTTCCGCTCTGCGACCTAAACATTGTCACGTGACGTGGCACGGACCTATCGGGCGAGTTTGGTTTCTGTATCTGGGCAACTTTGGAAAAAATAATAAAATAAAATACATATAACTATTACAACAAGCATTTAGTAGGCTATATGTATATTTTCTCTAAAAGCAAAACTGAATGGAATAGTTCATACCAAAAAGATAATACAACTACTATTGCCTATCCTAAAAATCTCAAAACTGTCTTTGAGTTAAGTAGCTACTGAGAGCATTATTCACCTATAGGACCACTTCCATGATTGAAACCATGGATCTCATGATTGAAATCTACTACCACGAAGCTCATTAAGTTCGAAGCAGGAGAGACTTGGTGACACGGTGCAGAGGGCGGGTCCACGGCCTTGTACTCTCCCTTATTAAAGCTGTGAGTGATTCCCGCTCCATCAGCAGCGTGCCTACTCCAGCAGTGATCTCCAGTCCTCTGAGGGTAAAGGGTCAGCAGCATGTCCAACTCGGATCGGGTGGTGCTAGTGCTGGGAGGAGCGGGCACCGTGGGCTCTGGCGTGGTCAAAGCGCTGCTAGACAAAGGTAAGTATCCAACTGGGAAATACACCTGTTGTCACTTAGATTTGTGTCGTTCATTATTTGGGAAAATCAGAGGACTCTAGTCACAATTTGCCATGCCTTTAGTTAATTTTGTAAACCAAATAAATAACATTGCAAACCATTTCACAATGTGTACTTAACTAAAACTGAACTACAGAGCCTCATTGTAGAATTGCTAGTATATATATTTTAAAAATGCATTGCGTAACTTTTCTGGTGAAGGGTTTGTCAAATGCTTTTCTCCATGGAGATGTTATAGCTTTGTCTGGAATGTTCATAGGAATGTTCATGACATTAAACCTTTGTATCTTCATTGAGACCAAATCAAGTTTTTGAGCAACATTTTTGAGCTGTAAAACCACCTGTAATTACATAAATGTAAGGTAGAGCTGTTTTTAATGTTATGCTCAGGAACATTCCAGGCGGAGCAATGACATCTACATATTTTTCCAGAAAAAGGCAGGTTACGGACCCCCACCAAAATAAGTTACATTGGACACCTTAAATTCTTGTGCATTTGGTAATTCATATGTAATTCGTTTATCAGTGTTTATTCCTTCATAAGTGTACATTCTCAGTCCTGGAGGTATGGTAGCCTTAAATCTTGTGTTGCCATCTGCTGTTTTGTCACGCTTCTTCCTCTTATGACCTTAATAAACAGATTAAATGTAGGCCCATTAGTCTTGTTGTTTTACATGTCAAAGGGATCAGTGTGGACTTGTATGTATCTGTGTGCAGGTTTTAAAGTAGCAGTGATCTCCAGAGACAGAAGTCGGCTTGACAGACTCTGCTCATTTGTCTCTCCCAATACAAAGGATAATCTCACCACTATAGTTGGCAATGTGGGTAAGTCTGCTTTTCCTAGACATGATCTGTCTGTTCATCTATGAGCACATGCAGAGAGAGGATGGGCGTGCTGGTGGACAGTGTCACATAGATCTAGCAATATATGCAAAATGAATTGACCTACTTTATAATAATATTTGGGGATTATTAAAAGTTCAGTAGTCATTCAAAAAACTTAGTTTATTAGTACAGTGCCAAGTAAATAATCTTGTGAGCTTATGTTAGTGACTTCAGTTTTTTTTTGTCTCAAATATTTCACCTGAATCAAAGTTGTTGTGTGTTTAAATATTCTTTGATGCTGTGTTTTTTCAGGGTCTGAGGATGGGGCAGAACAGGTGAAACAAGAACTGCTGAAGGCCGTGGGGAAGGTGACTGATGTGGTGTCATCTATGGGCTTCAGCTGGTGGCAGGGAGGCCCCCCTCACACACAGACTCTCAAAGACCTGCACTGGGTGGGTGCTCTGCTTTTGTGAAGGGTCTCTACACTATATATTCTACAATGTATGCATATTTGGACTTTTTAAAAGAAGAAAAGTAAAACAGAAAAAAAAAGAGCTGTGCTTATTTCTTTAATTCAAACATGCAATG